GTGCCTTTAAATCTCTCCTTGTTTCTGAATCACCCTCGGAATGCGATATACATATATAGCGTCCCTACTTCACGGATTTTCATTTTTCGCGGGTGGTCCTGGAACGTAACACCCGCAATAAGTGAGGGAACACTGTATAGGTAAAAGAGGCAGCACAGAAATATATGGCTAATCTAAACAAATGAAGCAGAGATGAACCTCTGGTTAAAAGAAAGAGAGGAAGTGGGTTGCCCGGGGATAGCTTTAGGTAAAACGAGAGAAAAGCGCAGCATACACACACATACGCATGAATATATATATATACAATCGAGTTTCGCTTATCCGACATAGATGGACTGGCTGAACATCGGATAAACGAAAATGTCGGATAATATGGAGTCTCCTACTGTTACCTGTCCAACGTGCTGCTAGACACCTAGATTACTTACAACAGGGATTCAAAGAATTAAGGCAAGGCAATGCCCCGGGGCTAGAGGGGCCCAGCAGGAGGTGCCCAGATGTGGAAGAGGAGCGTGGAAATCACAGAGGGAAGGGAAGGAGGGAGGATGCTTCTGCTTCCAGTCCTGCCTCTTTTCACCCATGTCTTCCTCCTTGTCTTGCCTTTTTCACTTATTGGGAATGGAGAGAGAGTTGGGGCACACTCCTTTAATTGAAGGGGAAATGCTGGAGGAAAGGGGGGGCAATGGATGAGATGTCGGATAAGCCAAGGTCTGATAAGTGAGAGTCTATTGTATTTGCAAAACTGGGAAGCTCTTCTGCGTCTCCCAGTACGTACGTCATTCCCAAGTCCGGTCACATTGGTTCTTCTGCAATATACGAGACATTCGGTCACTGTGTTTTCAACTGTAAGATTCCCTTTCGAGAAAAAAAAAAACCTTACCTGGCCATGGCAGTGAAAAGCCTTAAAAGCACCGCATCTTCTCCCTTTCTCTCCCTCCCTTCCTCCCAATCAATGGCACCCCATTTCAATAATTAACAGGAACGCTCTGCTAGAACGAATGAGAACGAGTCCTTGGTTGTGTTCCTTGGGTCCCTCAGGTCGGCGTGAGATAGAGGAATGGAGGAGGAAGGGCATAATAACAGGCACAAAATGCCCGTGACTGATTATGCCAGGCTCCTTGCTCTTCCTCCCAGCACCATACAACTTGGCTCACTGGCTAGAGCCAGGTAAAGCCATGTCATTGCCCAGGAAGGCTTTGAATGAGTGGATTTCTTTTCTCCATAGAGCTCTTCCACATAAGAATCAGAGCTGGAGAAAGTGGGCTCTTGGAGGCCTTGAAGAGAAGCCACGCAAGTGCCTTCTTTCACGAAATGACCCACCAGGTTCTGTCCAAAATGAGTAAGCAGACATTGTTGGTTCCCTCACATCCCTCCCAAAAGTCCTCTGTTTCCAGTTTCCCATTCCCTTCATTCATTTTGAGATATACACAGTACATTTACAGCTCAGAGCTTTGCCAAAGGCTTCAGCCAGGAGGCTGGTTGTCCGTTGCGGTTTCCAACCGCTCTGCTGCATCTTCCAGTTGCTCCAGAAGTTCAGAGAATGAGGGACGTTTGAATGCTTCGATCTGACAAGCATCAGGGAGGAAAAAGAGAAGAAAATGTTGGAGGGTTATATATAAAAAAAATCAAAACAGTAAAGCAGCAGAAGTAGTTCAGCAGATCAGAAGCATCTGGTGCTAGCAGTAGAGACATTGAGCTTCAGCAATTCGGGAGCAAACTCAAGCTGAAAAAGTTGTAAAAGAGTTGATTCAAAGAACTACATAACTAGATAGGAAAGTTAACAGGGCCTAGTTATCTAACTAACTATTTGATTAACTCCTAGCAGATACCTTTTCTCTCTCCATGCTCACAGGAGAAGAGCATGTTGGAAGACAACCACAGAGTTGTGCTGGAGGACATCTACGACTTCATCACATTGAAGCAGGCAAATGTTTCGCTGAGTAAAGCTCAGTCATACCCAGTTTTGAAATGAAATGGATGATTTATTTATTTATTTATTTATTTCATCTACTTATACCCCGCCCTTCTCACCCCGGGGGGGACTCAGGGCGGCTTACAGGAAAGGCACAATTAGATGCCCAAATCACACAACAAACAATACAAAATATAACAATTCAACAATTAAAATAAAACATCAATACCTAATAAAATCATAAAAACTATCTCATGTCAGAGTCCATATATCAGAGTCCATATATCCATTCCATTCCATTGTCCTTGTCTATCGACAGGTCCTTTAGTTAGTTGTCAGCATGGCCAAAAGCTTGGTCCCACATCCAGGTCTTTAGTTTTTTCCTAAACACTAGAAGGGAAGTCGTCGATCTGATCTCCCCGGGGAGTGAGTTCCACAGGTGAGGGGCCACCACTGAGAAGGCCCTGCTCCTCGTCCCCGCCAGCCTCACTTGTGCCACTGGCGGGGTCGAGAGCAGGGCCTCCCCAGAAGATCTTAAACTTCGAGGTGGGATGTAGAGGGAGATCCGTTCGGACAAATACACTGGGCCGGAACCGTATAGGGTTTTGTAGGTCAAAACCAGCACTTTGAATTGTGCTCGGAATTGGATCGGCAGCCAGTGGAGCTGACGCAACAGGGGGGTGGTGTGCTCCCTGTACGCCGCTCCGGTGAGCAATCTGGCTGCTTCTCGCTGGACTAGTTGAAGTTTCCGAGCAGTCTTCAAAGGCAACCCCACGTAGAGTGCGTTGCAGTAATCCAACCGGAATGTGACAAGAGCGTGGACCACCGTGGCCAGATCCGACTTCCCAAGGTACGGGCGCAGCTGGCGCACAAGTTTTAATTGTGCGAAAGCTCTCCCGGCCACCGCTGAGACCTGGGGCTCCAGGCTCAGCGATGAGTCCAGGATCACTCCCAAGCTGCGAACCTGAGTCTTCAGGGGGAGTGTAACCCCGTCTAACACAGGCTGTAACCCTATACCCTGTTCGGCCTTCCGACTGACCAGTAGGACCTCTGTCTTGTCTGGATTCAATTTCAATTTGTTAGCTCTCATCCAGTCCGATACAGCAGCTAAACACCGGTTCAAGGTCTGGACAGCCTCCTTGGTGACAGGTGAGAAGGAGTGACAGATTTGGACGTCATCTGCATAGAGATAGCATCTTAGTCCGAAACTCCGAATGATCTCTCCCAGCGGCTTCATGTAGATGTTAAATAACATCGGGGACAAGATTGAACCCTGTGGGACTCCACACAACAACGGTTGTGGGGCCGAACAGGTGTCACCCAATAACACCTTCTGGGTCCGTCCCTCAAGGAAGGATCGAAGCCACCGCAAGAGCAGTGCCTCCGAGCCCCATATCCATGAGGCGGCCCAGAAGGATACCGTGATCGACGGTATCGAAGGCCGCTGAGAGGTCCAGCAGAACTAACAGGGACACACTCCCCCTGTCTAGTTCCCTGCGTAGATCATCTACCAAGGCGACCAAGGCTGTCTCAGTTCCATGTCCCGGCCTAAAGCCAGACTGCCTTCTGGCTGTCAGATTTCCCTACCTTCATCACACTGTTAAATCAATCAGTGTTACTCAGTTGCACTCAGCATTCTTTGAGTTTATTTGCCTTCACACTGTAAAGATTTGGCCCCACCCACCATCCCTCCCGGTCTTCTATGTTGAAAAAAATCCTCCTCTCTTTGAAATGTCAGCTGTTACGAACCCAACCTAATGTGATGAGCACAATGGCTTACCATATATTAGAAGACAAGATGGCTGCTATGAGAAGCAAGGAAGCAGAGAGGGAGGGAGAAAAAGCAGTGATACTCTCTCTCACTCTCTCTCTCTCAGCTGCCTCACAGAGAAGGGTGTGGACCTTGGAAAACTATAACTCCCAGGACCACAATGGTATTTAAAGTAAGGTCCAGCTGCATTCATTTCACAGTGTAGATGCACCAAGAGAACGGTGTGGACCTCGGGAAACTATCACTCCCAGGAGGACTCCATTGCATGGAACCATGGCATTCAAAGTGGAATGCAAGGGCATTCATTTCATCGTGTAAATGCATCAAGAGAAGGAAAACTATGACTCCCAGGACTGCACAGCATGGAGACATGGCATAATAATAATAATAATAATAATAATAATAATAATAATAATAATAATAATAATAATGGAATTTAAAATGGGTCCCGGCTCTTTTAATTCTCCAATGCAGATGCACCTGGAGAAGGGTGTGGACCTTGGAAAACTATGACTCCCAGGACTGCACAGCACGGAGACATGGCATAATAATAATAATAGTAATAACGGAATTTAAAATGGGTCCTGACTATTTTTATTCTCCAACACATATGCACCTGGAAAAGGGTGTGGACCTTGGAAAACTATGACTCCCAGAACTGTACAGCATGGAGACATGGCATAATAATAATAATAATAATAATAATAATAATAATAATAATAATAATGACGATGATGGAATTTAAAATGGGTCCCGACTCTTTTTATTCTTCAATACAGATGCACCCTTATGAACCATCTAGGACCTTAAGATTGTCTGGGGAGGCCCAGCTCTCGTTACCGCTTTCGTCACAAGTACGTTTGGCGGAGACGAGAGACAGGGTCTTCTTGGTGGTGGCCCCTCAGCTGTGGAATGCCCTTCCTATAGATATTAGATCGGCCACCTCCCTTTTAACATTCCGGAAAAAAGTCAAGACGTGGCTTTTTGAACAAGCGTTTGCAAATGCAGAGTAACTGACACAGGAAAATGGAACGACTAGACCAGAGGTGCTCAAACTAAGGCCCAGGGGCCAGATACGGCCCTCCAAGATCATTTACCCGGTCCTCGCTCAGGGTCAGCCTAAGTCTGAAACGACTTGAAAGCACACAACAACAATCCTATCTCATCAGCCAAAAGCAGGCCCACACTTCCCATTGAAATACTAATATGTTTATATTGGTTAAAATTGTTCTTAATTATTGTATTGGGGTTTTTTTGCACTACAAATAAGATATGTGCAGTGTGCATAGGAATTCATTCATGTTTTTTTCAAATTATAATACGGCCCTCCAACAATTTGAGGGACTGTGACCCGGCCCTCTGTTTAAAAACTTTGAGGACCCCTGGACTAGACAATGAGTCCGGACACTGTTTTTAACAAGGAGACACTATGAATTTATATTTTATTTATCTGTTTAGTTTTGTATTATATGTTATGTTTTTAATTTTATTTATGACATTGTAAGCATTGAATTTTGTCCTGTTAACCGCCTTGAGTCGCCTACGGGCTGAGAAAGGCAATATATAAATACAGTAAATAAATAATAAATAAATAAGGGTGTGGCCCTTGGGAAACTATAACTCCCAGGACTGCATAATAAGGTAATGGTGGAACTTTCCCTAACAAGGGTAATTTATAGGGTCCCATCCCCTACGTCCCATCTCGTAATCTACGATCATCCGGGGGAGGCCCTGCTCTCGCTCCCGTCAATTGCACAAATGCGGCTGGCGGGGACGAGAGACAGGGCCTTCTCGGCGGTGGCCCCTCGCCTATCGAACACACTCCCAAATGAGGTAAGATCTGCTCCCTCCCTCCTGGCTTTTAGAAAGAAATTAAAGTCATGGCTTTGGGATCAGGCCTTCGGACAGTAGATGTTTGTAGAATTTAAAGGACATGGACTAGAATGACAATATGACTGGCGAGACTGTTTTTATTGTTTTAATGATTGCTTATGTACTGTCTAATTATGATTTATGTTTAATTGTGGTTTTATTATTGTGGTTGTTATGGTTTGGCATCGTGTCAGTGTCCAATGTATGGCATTGAAGTTTTGTCAGTTATGTGTAAACCAGTTTGAGTCCCCTTAGGGGTGAGAAAAGCAGTATAGAAATACTGTAAATAAATAAATAGATAGATAAATAAATAATTTCCCTTCCCACAAATTGGGGAAATGTTTCATTTTAAATCTGAGAGCAATGAATGCCATCACGTTATAGAATTGGCCAAACATCTGGATCATTACCAAAAATCCTCACCACCTCCTGAAACGTTTGAAAGAATTCTAGTCCCCACGCTTTAAATACGCAAAGAATGCTCTACCCTACACTTGAACCCAACCTAATGTGATGAGTACAATGACTTACCACGTATTAAGTGTGACACTTAGTGGAATTTAGTAAATGTGATGAAGTGGTTAGATAATATTCTTCAAAAGTTAACCCCACAAATCTGACTAAAGGTCCAGGAATGAATTTTCCCTCTCCCAACACTAGAGGGCAGGCACAGGCCCCTTCTAGCCAAAGCCTGCAATTAGCTCTAACACCCAGGGGCGGCTCATCCATTACGCAAAGTAAGCAGTCGCAGAACACTTTTTTTTGCCAGGGGCGCAGAGGCGCCTCTGTAAATGCCCCTTGACCACCACTTGAGGAGTGCCCCATCAGCTCACAACAGCCCTAGCAGTCCGGGGGGAGCCTCGGCTTTCTTGCCTCGCTGCCGGGCAATCCTCTTCCCAAAGAGGCCGGGCCCTTGAGCCTCGCCTTGCCCCTCTCGTTCCTGCTCCACCTGGCCACCGGGTGCGCGAGCAGAGCCGGCGCTCAATCGTTCTCCGCGTTCGATCCCTTCCCCATGACTGGCTCCCTTTCCCGATCCCCCGGCGCTCCACCCGCCTCCTCTCCTCTCCCCAATCCGGGTGGGCCAAGGGGCGGAGCCGCCACGCCTGGCCCACTTCGGGTCCGGAGGCGTGTCTGAAGACCCCAGCGTGCGCACCAAAAGTCGCCTCTTCTCCTGACTTTCTCTTCAGCCATTGGGACCAAGAGAGACAGAGAGAGAGAGAGCCCCTCCGGCTGGAGGTATCTCCCACCTCCGCTCCCTCCTTTGTTTTTGCGCCTACCTTCAGGAAAGGTGGGCATCTCCACCTCTCTCTCTCTCTCTCTCTCTCTCTCTCTTGGTCCCAATGGCTGAGGAGAAAGTCAGGAGAAGAGGTGACTTTTGGTGCACACGCCGGGGTCTTCAGGCACGCCTCCGGACCCAAAGCGGGCCAGGCAAGGGAGCAAGTGCGGCAAGTGTAGTTACTGGGATGTATAGTTCACCTACAATCAAAGAGCATTCTGAACTCCACCAATGATGGAATTGAACCAAATATGGCACACAGAACTCCCACGACAAACAGAATATATATATCAATGATTGGTTGGGGGGAGGGGCAAAATACTGTTTGCTTACCGTTGAAAATTACCTAGGGCCGCCTCTGCTAACACCCTTCTAATATTAGAAATTATTATTATTATTATTATTATTATTATTATTATTTGCCTCTCCTTTCCCAACTCTAGTAAAAAAAATTAAAAGGAATGTGTCAGTCCCATGAAACAACTTTTTCTAAAAGGAGTGCTAATGTATTGGTTTTTGCAAGAATGCCCCCAAGCAGCGATAGTATTTTCCTTGTTGAAAGGCCAAATGAAACTGGGTCAGATGCACCCAAAATTTCCAATGTTCTCCTGCTTTGATCATATTTCTACCTCGAAGCCCTGGGACAAGGCCTCAAGGGAAGGTGTGTAAATCTTTCTGTTTACGAAACGGGCCAAGAATGCATCCAAAGCCGCAGAAGGACAAGAGACGCCTCGAAGGCTGAGGCTCAACTATCCTCTACCTGGCTGAGTGTTAAAAATTGGGGGAAAGCAAGGCAGAGAGAAAGATAAATACCAGAAGAACAGGTAAGTAGGTAGAGATATAGATATAGATATAGGGCTTGATGAATTAGGTCATAATGGACCCATGTATTCCAGGATGTAATTTGGACTGTCAGATGTACTTGAGAAGACTGCCATTGGATATGGAGGCTCCATTCTAGAAACCCATGCCTAACAAGAGCATAAGGAGCACTGTGTTGGATGGGGACAAAGAGCACACAATTTAAAATATATTCAAATATGCACACATTAAAAAAGAATGAAATATTAACAGTATTGTCGAAGACTTTCATGGCCAGAATCACTAGGTTGCTATGAGTTTTCCAGGCTGTCTGACCATGTTCCAGTAGCATTCTCTCCTGACATTTCACCTGTGGCTGGCATCCTCAGAGGTTTGTTCACAGGCCTGTTGGAGGTGAGGCAAGTCTGTTGGAGGTGAAGTGAGTGGAGTGTGTGTGTATCTATATAAATAAAAATGTAATGTTCGTTTGTGGGATTAACAGAACTCAAAAACCAGTGGACCAATTAACATCAAATTAGGACACAAGACACCTAACAACCCAATGTATGTCCTTCACTCAAAAAAAAATATGATTTTGTCATTTGGGAGTTGTAGTTGCTGGGATTTATAGCACACCTATACTATAAGGCACAAGAATGGAATTAGAGAGATGGGTCAAAACTAACAAAATGAAGTTCAACAGGGACAAATGCAAGATACTCCACTTAGGCAGAAAAAACGAAATGCAAAGATACAGAATAGGGGACAATGCCTAGCTCAAGAGCAGTACGTGTGAAAAAGATACTGGAGTCCTCATGGACAAGAAGTTAAACATGTTCCTCGCTTGCCTTGCAGACAATTTCATGGTCCAGAAGGTAGAAGAGGCAACAAGGGGATTGGCTACTCTTGATCTCATCCTAACAAATGCGGACGACCTGATCGATGCGGTCGAAGTAGTAGGATCCTTAGGGGCAAGTGACCATGTGCTCCTGCAATTTGAGGTACAAAGGAAGGCCGAAACTAAGACAAGTCAAACCCGCATTTTGGACTTTAGGAGAGCTGATTTCCAAAAAATGAAGGAAACTCTGAGCAGCATTCCGTGGACACAGATACTAAAAGACAAGGGAGTTACGGATGGATGGGAATTTCTCAAGAGTGAAATACTCAAGGCGCAATTGCAAACCGTGCCAACAAAGAGAAAAAATAGGACAAGTGCAAAGAAGCCAGAATGGATGTCCAAAGAACTTCTAACTGTGCTAAGACACAAAAGAGACATGCACAAGAAGTGGAAAAAGGGAGAAATCCCCAAAGAAGAATTCAAACAAATAGCCAACACCTGTAGGGAAAAGGTCCGCAAGGCTAAAGCAAAAAAACGAGCTCAGACTGGCAAAAACAATAAAAAGGGCTTCTATTCTTATGTCAGTAGAAAAAGGAAAAACAAGGAGGCGATAGGACCTCTTCGAGGAGAAGATGGGGCAATGCTGACAGGGGATAGGGAAAAGGCAGAACTACTTAATGCCTTCTTTGCCTCGGTCTTCTCACAAAAAGAGAGTCTTCAACCTCAGCAAGATGGAGTGGATGAGGGATTGGAGGACATCCAACCCCAAATTGGGAAAGAAGTCGTCCAGGAATACCTGGCCGCTCTTAATGAGTTCAAGTCCCCAGGGCCAGATCAACTACACCCCAGAGTATTGAAGGAACTAGCGGAAGTCATTTCGGAACCATTGGCAACCATCTTTGAGAGTTCTTGGAGAATGGGAGAAGTTCCAGCAGATTGGAGGAGGGCCAATGTGGTCCCAATCTTCAAGAAGGGAAAAAAGGATGACCCAAACAACTACCGTCCGGTCAGCCTCACGTCGATACCGGGCAAGATTCTGGAAAAGATTGTTAAGGAAGCGGTCTGCAAAAACTTAGAAACAAATGCAGTCATCGCTAATAGTCAACATGGATTTATCAAAAACAAGTCATGCCAGACTAATCTGATCTCTTTCTTCGATAGAGCTACAAGCTGGGTAGATGCGGGAAATGCCATGGATGTAACTTATCTGGACTTCAGTAAGGCATTTGACAAGGTCCCCCATGAGCTTCTGGCAAGCAAACTAGTCCAATGTGGGCTAGGCAAAACAACAGTTAGGTGGATCTGTAATTGATTAAGCAAATGAACCTAGTGCTCACTAATGCTTCCTCTTCGTCTTGGAAAGAAGTGACAAGTGGAGTGCCGCAGGGTTCCGTCCTGGGCCCGGTCCTGTTCAACATCTTTATTAATGACTTAGATGAAGGGCTAGAAGGCATGATCATCAAGTTTGCAGACGACACCAAATTGGGAGGGATAGCCAATAGTCCAGAGGACGGAGCAGAATTCAAAACGATCTTGACAGATTAGAGAGATGGGCCAAAACTAACAAAATGAAGTTCAACAGTGACAAATGCAAGATACTCCACTTTGGCAGAAAAAATGAAATGCAAAGATACAGAATGGGGGACGCCTGGCTCGAGAGCAGTACGTGTGAAAAAGATCTTGGAGTCCTCGTGGACAACAAGTTAAACATGAGCCAACAATGTGATGTGGCAGCAAAAAAAGCCAATGGGATTTTGGCCTGCATCAATAGGAGCATAGTGTCTAGATCTAAGGAAGTAATGCTACCCATGCTCTATTCTGCTTTGGTTAGACCACATCTGGAATATTGTGTCCAATTCTGGGCACCACAATTCAAGAGAGATATTGACAAGCTGGAATGTGTCCAGAGGAGGGCGACTAAAATGATCAAGGGTCTGGAGAACAAGCCCTATGAGGAGCGGCTTAAGGAGCTGGGCATGTTTAGCCTGAAGAAGAGAAGGCTGAGAGGAGATATGATAGCTATGTATAAATATGTGAGAGGAAGTCACAGGGAGGAGGGAGCAAGCTTGTTTTCTGCTTCCCTGGAGACTAGGATGCGAAACAATGGCTTCAAACTACAGGAGAAAGGATTCCATCTGAACATGAGGAAGAACTTCCTGACTGTGAGAGCCGTTCAGCAGTGGAACTCTCTGCCCCGGAGTGTGGTGAAGGCTCCTTCTTTGGAAGCTTTTAAACAGAGGCTGGATGGCCATCTGTCAGGGGTGATTTGAATGCAATATTCCTGCTTCTTGGTAGGAATATTGGACTGGATGGCCCATGAGGTCTCTTCCAACTCTTTGATTCTATGATTCTATGAATGTAAGCAACATGGCCAATGAACTTTACATGCCTCTTGAGAAAAGCCTTCTTTTAACCCACCGCCCTGGAGCTGTATTATTTATTTATTTACTTTACTTATATACCGCTGTTCTCAGCCCGAAGGCGACTCACAGCGGTTCACAACAAATAAGAACAGCAAAAATTCAATGCTACAGTGTAAAAACAGTTAACAACCTAACATATTACATAATTAATAAACAATTACTACAATAACCATTCACTATTCACTATCGTCTCATCATCAAAAACATGATCCAGATTCGTCATCCATTATTCCGTTCCAATGTTCATTAACCAATCATTGCACTAATTATTCGAACGCCTGCTCAAACAGCCAGGTCTTCACTTTTTTGCGGAATACCATTAGAGATGGTGCTAGTCTAATGTCCGTAGGAAGGGCGTTCCACAGCCGAGGAGCCACCACCGAGAAGGCCCTATCTCTCGTCCCCGCCAGCCGTGCTTGAGAAGCAGGCGGGATCGAGAGCAGGGCCTCCCCGGAAGATCTCAAAGTCCTGTACTGACAAACTCCATCCCACTTACACGGCAACAACTGGCAGCCAAATCCAAAATGTGCTTCGGACATTCCCCGACCAGCTCTTGAAAAGCAGCTACATCCAAGCCATAATCCTGGTGGGGAGAAGGAGGAGAAATAATTGACAAATATTACCATTTTCCTGCTTCTGTTTTTTAGCCCAGTTCAGACAAAAAAATAGCACAGATAAGCTCCCAGGTCTGTAGCGTTGAACCTGAACTTGAAGCATTTCACAAGTGCAAACCAGGACATGCGTGGCCAAGCAAGGCCAGAATACGGCCCAGATGACAAAGTTTATCTAAGGGGCCATATACACCAACTAGGTCATGTAGTTTCAAACTACCGTATATACTCGAGTATAAGCCGACCCAAATATAAGCCGAGGCACCTAATTTTACCACAAAAAACTGGGAAAACATATTGACTCGAGTATAAGCCGAGGGTGGGAAATGCAGCCACTACAGGTAAATTTCAAAATAAAAATAGATACCAATAAAATTACATTAATTGAGGCATCAGGAGGTGAAATGTTTTTTTTAATATTTACATAAAACTGTAATTTGAGATAAGACTGCCCAACTCTGATTAAATCATTACATATCTTCAATGTAAATGTACTTACGTATCCTTCCAACAATAATAAAGAGAGTAAAATAATAAATATAATAATAATAAAATAAAATAATGGAAAGGCAATAATAACGATAATAATAGAGTAGAATGTTTTACTGTAATATGCATTATGGTGTTTTATTGATTGTATGCGATATTATGGTTGGAAACCGGTCTGAGTCCCTCAAGAGAGGTGAGAAGGCCAGTATACAAAACTTTTAAATAATAAATAAATAATATTATTTATTTATTTATTTAAGCAAGCAAAGTTTATTGATTAGTCCACTGACCGTATCAACATTAAAAACAAAAACAGAAACGTACACAAATAGACAATAATCACTATCCTAGGACTCCCATAAAAGTGAACTAACATACATTCAAACTTGATTAAGTTAAATGATAATTAAAAATATCATCATTAAAATGCCAAGGTAAAATTTCAAACCACAAAAATTAAAAACGAAGGTTAAAACAAAGGTTAAAATAGACCAGCTATTACACAATCCCAAGCCAGTAGAATAATAAATGTAATAATAGAGTAAAATAATATATGCAATAATAATAAAGTAAAACAATAAATATAATAATAATCATATATAGTGTAAAATAATAAATGTAATAATAATAATAATAATAGGGTAAAATACTGTAAATGCAATAATAATAATAATAATAATAAAGAGAGTAAAATAATACATGAAATAAAAATAATACTAATAACAGAGTAAAATAATAAATAACCTTGACTCGAGTATAAGCCGAGAGGAGCTTTTTCAGCCTAAAAAGGGGGCTGAAAAACTAGGCTTATACTCGAGTATATACAGTACTTAGAAATTGGTTTCGCTATGCAAATAACAACCTAGGAGGTCCTGACACCAATCCGAGGCCTACACAAGCCACAGAGCAGTGATGTGTATTAAGGGCTTTCTTTCTTGCGCTTTTGTAGGCGTTTGTGGCCTGGTTTTTCAGGTTGCATGGCCGTGTTCCAGCAGCATTATCTCCTGGCATTTCACCTACATCTCTGACTGGCATCTTCAGAAGTTTTTTCAGAAGTTCTGTTGCAAATGAGGCAAGTGGAATGTATGTGGAATAATGTCCAGGGTGGGAGAAAGAAATCTTGTCAGTTTGAAGCAAGTGTGGATGTTGTAATTTGCAAGTTTGATTAGCATCAAGTAGCCTTGCAGCTGCAAAGTCAATCCGTGAAGGTATTTGCATAGAGGCTGTTGTTGCCTAGAGGCATCCTTTGTTTGGGAGGTGTTCACTGGCACTTTGTTGTTTGTTGTCTGGAAGTCCCGTTTCTGAGTAGTAGTTGCAAGCATTGCAAGTTGCAAGGCTACTCAATGCTATTCAAGCCTGCTAATTGCAATATTCACACATGCTCCAAACAGACGAGGGTAATAAATAGCAGTAAATAAGATAGTAAATAAAGAACACCACCCAGAAACAGAGTGACAGCAAACAATCAAGTCCCAACATCTCCCAAACAAAGGATGCCTCTAGGCAACAACAGCCAGGCTACCTCTATGCAAATACCCTCAGTGATTGACTTTGCAGCTGCAAGGCTACTCAATGCTGTCCAACAGACAAGGGTTCTTTCTCCCATCCTGGACATTATTCCACAGATATATATATACTCCAACAGACCTCTGAAGATGCCAGCCACAGATGCAGGCAAAACATCAGGAGAGAATGCTACTGAAATATGGCTGAAAATGTCCTAGCATCCCAACAATAAATGCCTTAATAAGAACACAACGGCAATAGCGACACAGTCATTGCTAGTAGAAAAGGGATGAGCAGGAATGGGATGCAAGACCGGGAAGGAAAACGTCACCTGTGTCCGGGGCAGCTCCTCTGGGTCAGCCGGAATCCTCCCCAAAATCTCACACAAGACGATGCCGAAGGAGAAGACGTCTACCTGTCAAGAGAAGTGCAATGGAGCCTGAAGGAAAGGCAGTTTGGAGCCCACCTGGCAGGCAAAGCAAAGCATGCTGCACTCTGTTCTCAGAAACAAGAAACGTTACGCAGTTCTGCTCCCTGGCATGACAGAATTCAAACATTCCTGCATACTTTCCCATACTTTCCCACTTCTGCAGGAGTCTACCACGCAGCTGTGGACAAGTCCACATAGGGACCACCAAATGCAGCAGGGAGGTAAAAGGCACCCGTGCAGACATACCGCCAATTCAATCAGGAAGGTGCCCACAGACAAGGAAAATGGAACAAGAACACTTCCCTATGGCTGGAGTCGAGCACAAAGCTTAGCAGAAACCTCACAAGGAAAGGCTGTTGAGGGAGGGAGAAAAGAGGAGAAATAGAGGTACCTTCCGGTCATAACGCTCCCCCCGCAGCATTTCGGGGGCCATCCAGAAGGCCGAGCCCACCAAGGAAAGCTTCCTCTCGGGGTCCTTCGCCGCTGGCACCTCCACCACTTCCTTGGCCAGCCCAAAGTCGGTCACCAGGGCCTCCCGTCCCCTTGAGGTCACGCGGATGAGGCAGTTCTGAGATGCAATGTCAAAATAAGAAGGGAAAGAGAGTGGGTCACAGAAGAGACCCCAGGGGCCATCCATTCCAACCCACCGCCCTTTATTGCTTTAAAAGTCAAGCTTTAAAAGTTCCAAAGACTTTATTGAAAGGAACTACATTTCTTAATAGGAAAGTTAGAGCCTAGCTATTTATCTGAGTTGTTGTGAGTTTTTCAAGCTGTATGGCTATGTTCCAGTAGCATTCTCTCCTGACATTTCACCTGCATCTGTGGCAAGCGCTGTCAGAGGTTTGTTCAGAAATGAGGCAAGTGGAGTGTGTGTGGAATAATGTTCAGGATGGGAGAATGAACACTAGTATGTTTGAAGCAAGTGTGAATGTTGCAATTAGCCAGCTTGATTAGCTTGGAGTAGCCTTGCAGCTGCAAAGACAATCATTGAGGATATTTGCAATCAGTGAGGGTCTCTAACTACCTCTCTCTCTCTCTCTTTCTGGAGACATCTTGTCTCTCTCCATGGTCACAGGAAAGCTCAGAGGCTTGCCATGTGTACAGAAACTCTAAATAAGGGAGAATTTTGGGGTCTTTGCCAGGAGGCAGAGACCAATTAGACTCATCAAAGAGTTCTTTTTTCCTAGCGAGACAGAGAAGCACCCAATATTTTTCCCTGATTTTTCCAATGAAAGGTCTCACCAAGTTGAAGAAAAGCCATCGAGGTTTATTAGCGATTCAGCTGAAAAGGATGCAGAGCAGCAATCATTCGCCAAGCAGAGCATGAAATGTTACACCAAAACAGCCATTCTTATAGGAAATACAGAGTTGCATGGTTCAAATCTCCCGCCCCTGCCTCCCTGCGGGTTTTCGTTGCTATTGGCCGGTGGGCTAACAGCTGGGAGGCGGACCTCCCGCCTCTTGCACAACAGGGCCAATCAGAAAGCTCCTGCGGTGCACTGGAGCCAATCAGGAAGCTTCTGCTGCCTTGAGGCGGCGACGAATCAGCAGAGAGAGAGGCGGGCCGAGGAGACACAATGGGACTCATGAATGAATTGTGAAATCAGGAAATGTCGGGAGCCTCACGAGTCTCTATAGAGCCTGCCAGTCAGGCAATCCTATTGTTGTATGATTGGTGTTAGTGAATGTAAACAAGAAAGAACTGGATCTTTTCAGGCGGCAAAACAGGAGGACAAATGGGGCGAAACTGGATGAATGTTCCTTGGTGGATGATTGAATGGGGCAACAGGATGGAAGGGGGATGCTTTTCGAAGGCGCCCCCATCTCCCAATTAGAAATGTAATCAAAGTCTGCCAAGGGGTGCCCTTGCCCTTTGCAGAACTATAAGTTACTATCTCTTATTTTGGGGGGAGGGATGCTCGGCTTCAAGGGGAGGTGTGTCCCTGAGAAGTATCAGTCTAATAAACAAGGAATCGAAGAAAGGGGGGGGGGGCAGACAAAGAGGGCAATGAATGGAGGACTTTTCCTGCCAGCCAACAGAACTGCCTGCCTGTCTCCTTGTTGAGGACTATAAACTTAGTTCCAACACTGCTAAGAGTAAGACAGCCTTTGAGAATGGAGGCTCCATTTACCAGTTCTAATCTGCCACTCTCCAGATTCGGTGACTTCCATCCAGACAGGTTGAGGGGGACACTGAGGCTGAAAGGCATCCAAGGAAAGTCCTCCTGAATCTCCCAAACCCGCCTCCTGCTGCTTCCTTCCCTCGAGGCCCAGCCAGATGCCCACAAAACATATGTAATAAATAAGAGCAATCAATAGCTCTTGATCTGCTGCTGCTCTTCTCCAAGATAGATCATTCCTATCTGTGGAGGGCCCTCATGGAGTGAGTACCTTGGAGTTGAGGTCCCGGTGGTAGATGTTCTTGGAGTGCAGGTAGACCATCCCTCGGGTGATGTCTGAGGCCAGCTCCACTTTCTCCTTCCAGCTGAGGGGGATGTCTTTGCAGGCCAAGAGCTCCTCCAGGCAACCGCCATTCACATACTGTCATTAAGCAGAGGAGGAGAAGGAGGACAGAGAAAATTCATGGGAAACAGAATGATTTCATGGGTGTCTATTAAACTGCTACTGTATATTCTGGCGTATAAGACTACTTTTTAACCCAAGAAAATATTCTCAAAAGTCAGGGGTCGTCTTATATGCAGGAATAGTCTTATACATGGGAGTAGTCTTATACGCTGGGAGTCTTCTTATAGAGCGGGTGCTGAAACTTCCAATCCGGATTGGAGAATCTGTGGTTGCTGCATAATGTGGGGGGAGCTCAAAAATGGCAGTGGCCGCCCCCCTGCTGTATGCAGCGACTGTATGAAAGCATTAAGGGCGACGCTGTACAAGTATGGTAGAAGAAAATCCATTCATCAGGATTTGTGGACTTAATGCGGTCCCGATGGTGAGTTGAAGGGGAGCCTCAACTCAAGGTGTACGTGAATTGCGGAGCAAGCTGCAGGCATCCGGGGCACCCGGGGTATGGAAAAAAGAGATAGAGTGGCTCTGGGCCCAGAAAAACACACCTCTTTTACCTGTCTGGCCCGCCCTTGTATCCTATTACTGTACCTCCTTCTCTGCCTCTCAGATCTCGCTCCTGAAGACTGCAGTGAAGTGGTGCAGGTGCGCATGTGCGAGATCTGAGAGGCAGAGAAGGAAGTACAGTAATAGGAAAATTACCATATTGAAATCAAATCTGATGCTTTTAAAAAATGTATTTGGTGTTTGTTGGAACAGGGGTAGTCTTATACGGCGAGTACATCCCAAACTCTATATTTTAACTGGAAAAGTTAGGGGTCGTCTTATATGCCTAGTCGTCTTATATGCTGGAATATACGTAGTTATTTACCTTAAGGGCAGTTCAGGCAACATAGTGTTCGAGTGAGAATCTAGTCCTGAGATCTCTGGTTCTTGGTTCAAGTCAAGCCTTGGTTTTGAATGTAATATATCCTTGAAGTTTTCTGTGTTCCTGTTCAAGTTTTTGCTAATTATACTTTCTTGCTTGTGGACTTATGCTGCACCTGTGATTTCTGGCTGTTCCTCACCTTTGGAACTTTATAGGCATTGGGATGACTGCTTGCTGGACCTTTTTGGATTATCTATCTTCCTTTCTAATTCCTGATTTTTATATGCTTTTTATATATTTTTACAAGAAACCGATTGCTTGTACTCCTGGACTCTTGTGTGGTGTGGTGGTCATAGAGTGCAACAACCAGAATTTTCCTAGTTTTTCTTCTTTTGGCAGTGGGATCCTGGGGGAGTCTGGGGCCTGCAAAATGGACGCTAGGGGCCACATGCATCCCACTGGAGTTGTTTGACCAAGCCCCCAAATGGAGAGCCTTGTCAACTTGCATTTCCCGGAGAAGCAGAGAGCCTTCTAAACCATCAGCTTTCAGGAGGCAGAAATTCATCACTGGACAGATGGCAAGGCTAGAGAGGATTGGGAAAGATCACTGGGAACCATATGGCTACTAGGGTACATTCTTTTGTCTGCGATATTAAGATCTATTGCAGTAAAATCATTCCTTACCTCCAGAATTGGGTACAACTTGTCATTCTTCACACAGACCCCAAGATATCTTTAATGAAAGACGGAGAGAGAAAAATAAATCAGTCAGATGCTTTATGCCCTGTCTAAAAGGGACAAACTTAGAAAGCAAACCTCAGTTTCTAAGTTTGGGGAAAATCAGATCTTGGGGAAAATCAGATCTTTTGTGTCTTCTCTTCGAAAATGGGTGGGAAACGCCAAGTGCTGGGGGACACCAGGGACCGTTGAGTCCAAACCTGGCCACACATGAATCCACACCTGAAAGATGGTCACCCAACCTTGTTTAAAGGCCTCCAAAGAGGAAGCCTTTCCCACAGTGGTTCCCAACCTTTTTTTGACCAAGGACCACTCTCCAACATGAGTACCAAAGGGTTACAAATCAGTTTTTGGTCAACTTTAGATTCAGTTTGGTTATTTGGGGTGCTGATTCAAAACATTGCATTGGATAGACCTCATCAGTGCTAGTTTCTGATACAGAACATATGCCATTCAGTAGTTGCCATCTGCTTGCTCACAGGAAGCCCACCTTTCTCCTGTACCCTCTGCTTGCTTCAATTGCTGAATGCAAACTGCAGCAAAAGTAGACTATGCTCAACTGTAATGGTCTCTCACTCTTACATCAACTGACTCAATAGGAGCAGGCAGGATCTTGTCCTTCCTTATAGAATCATAGAATCAAAGAATCAAAGAGTTGGAAGAGACCTCATGGGCCATCCAGTCCAACCCCCTGCCAAGAAGCAGGAATATTGCATTCAAAGCACCCCTGACAGATGGCCATCCAGCCTCTGTTTAAAAGCTTCCAAAGAAGGAGCCTCCATCACACTCCAGGGCAGAGAGTTCCACTGCTGAATGGCTCTCACAGTCAGGAAGTTCTTCCTAATGTTCAGATGGAATCTCCTCTCTTGTAGTTTGAAGCCATTGTTCCGCGTCCTAGTCTCCAAGTAAGCAGAAAACAAGCTTGCTCCCTTTCCTGTGGCTTCCTCTCACATATTTATACATGGCTATCATATCTCCTCTCAGCCTTCTCTTCTTCAGGCTAAACATGCCCAGCTCCTTAAGCCGCTCCTCATAGGGCTTGTTCTCCAGACGCTTGATCATTTTAGTTGCCCTCCTCTGGACACATTCCAGCTTGTCAATATCTCTCTTGAATTGTGGTGCCCAGAATTGGACACAATATTCCAGGTGTGGTCTAACCAAAGCAGAATAGAGGGGTAGCATTACTTCCCTGGACCTAGACACTATGCTCCTATTGATGCAGGCCAAAATCCCATTGGCTTTTTTTGCCGCCACATCACATTGTTGGCTCATGTTTAACTTGTTGTCCACGAGGACTCCAAGATCTTTTTCATACGTACTGCTCTCAAGCCAGGCATCGTCCCCCCCTTCTGTATCTTTGCATTTCGTTTTTTTTTTTTGCCTAAGTGGAGTATCTTGCAGCTGCTATTTGGCTTAGAGCACCGGGATTGTGGCGCAGCTGGCTGAGTGTCAGCTGCATTAAGATCACTCTGACCAAAAGGTCACGAGTTCGAAGCCAGCCCGGGTTGGAGTGGGTTTCCAACCAATTGTGTAGCCTGTTGTCGACCTTTGCAACCCGAAAGACAGTTGCATCTGTCAAGTAGGAAAATAAGGTACCACCTTAAAGTGTGGGGAGGCTAAATTAACTGATTTATGAGGCCATAAAGAAGACTCCAGCAAAGTATTCCAGCGGGGAAGCATGCGGGGAATGCGGAAGTGCTTCATCAGCGTCGCAGATGGATGATGAAAGCGACAGCTCCCCTGGCGGCCAGAAAAAGTTAAATAGCCTCTGTGTATGTCTGTATATGTTTGTATGTCAAAAATTGGCATTGAATGTTTGCCATATATGTGTACACTGTAATCCGCCCTGAGTCCCCTGCGGGGTGAGAAGGGCGGAATATAAAAGCTGTAAATAAATAAATAAATAAATATAAGTGCAAGCAAAAGCACACTGCTGCAGTCTCTCCTAAGCTTGCCTTGTTCTTCCTTGCAAATAATTTTTGCTATCTTTATCCTTGGTTTTCATCTCGGAAATGTTGGAATCTAAACAAAGGGCCAAACTGCAAGCAAAGCAGTTCTGAATGAAGATTAGGAAGAAATGCCTGAAGAAAATAATCTATTCACCATTGGAACAGACTGTCTTGGTGGCACTTCTACTTTTCTGGAGATTGAATGGGCTATTTCCTGTAGTTGCAAAGGGTTAGATTAGATAGCCATAATCTAATCTAGGAGCCCCCGGTGGCGCAGTGGGTTAAAGCACTGAGCTGCTGAGCTTGTTGATCGAAAGGTCGTAGGTTCGATTCCGGGGAGCGGCGTGAGCTTCCGCTGTCAGCCCTAGATTCTGCCAACCTAGCAGTTCGAAACATGCAAATGTGAGTAGATCAATAGGTACCACTCCGGCGGGAAGGTAATGGCGCTCCATGCAGTCATGCCAGCCACATGATCTTCGAGGTGTCTACGGACAACGCTGGCTCTTCGGCTTAGAAATGGAGATGAGCACCACACCCCAGAGTCAGACATGACTGGACTTAATGTCAGGGGACTACCTTTACCTTTAATCTAATCTAAGTGAATCCCAGCTCAGTGTTTCTGGGATTCTATTTGTTTTTGTATTGTAGGCTCTTAAACTTCCCAGTCTAGGGAGCAGCTAGGGTATCTATCTATCTATCTATCTATCTATCTATCTATCTATCTATCTATCAGAATGACAGCTGTTTTCTGAAATCCTCTCCCACCTGACAATGTTGGGATGGGAAAGCTTTTGCAGCAAACTGATTTCCCGCACGATCCCTTCCTGGTCTGCGTAGTTCTTATAGATCTTCACCACCATTGGCTTGCAGCTGGAGTTGATCGCAGCAACCTGAAGCAAAACAAAATTGACAGGATATGGGAAACATGCCCTCACAAACATGAAAGGTATTTTGCCCTTGACATCTGAGCCTGAAGGGTGTTCTGACTGGCTTCTTTCCTTTCACTTGTGTGCTTTTCCAAATGGCTTAGAGCAGCGTTTCTCAACCTGGGGAGTCGGGACCCCTGGGGGGGGGGTCACGAGGGGGTGTCAGAGGGGTCACCAAAGACCATCAGAAAACACAAAATTGTCTGTTGGTCATGAAGAACACAAAATTGTCTGTTGGTCATGAAGGTTCTGTGTGGGAAGTTTGGCCCAATTCTATAGTTGGTGGGGTTCTTTGATTATAAATCCCAGTAACTACAACCCCCAAAAGTCAAGTCTATTTTCCCCAAACTCCCCCAGTGTTCACATTTGGGCATACCGAGTATTTGTACCAAGTTTGGTCCAAATCCATCACTGTTTGAATCCACAGTGCTCTCTGGATGTAGGTGAACTACAACTCCAAAACTCAAGGTCCACCAAACCCTTCCAATATTTTCTGTTGGTTGTGAAAGTTCTGTGTGCCGAGTTTGGTTCAATTCCATCGCTGGTGGAGTTCAGAATGCTCTTTGATTGTAGGTGAACTATAAATCCCAGCATCTATAACTCCCAAATGACAAAATGACAAAGGCTGAATGGCCATCTGTCAGGGGTGCTTTGATGGTGCTTGTTCTGCCTGCCAGAAGGGGGCCAGACTGGGGCCCCTTTTACAATGTCATATAATCTAGAAGATCATGGCATTATCTTCTTTGAACTGGATTATATGAGTTTACACTGCCAGATAATCCAGTTCAAAGAAGATAATCTGGATTTTTACTATATAGAATCTGGTTTCTATATAGTTTGATGGGGTACTAGCACTGTGGCGGGCTTTGTGAAGACTACATCTCCTGTGATTCCATAACATTGAGCCATAGTAGTTCAAGTGGTGTCAAACCTATTGTTTTTTAATCCTGTCAGGAGCGACTTGAGAAACTGGAAGTTGCCTCTGGTGTGAGAGAATTGGCCGCCTGCAGAGACGCTGCCCAGGGGACGCCCGGATGTGTTACCATCCTGTGGGGGGCTTCTCTCATGTCCCCTCATGGGAAGCTGGAGCTGACAGACAGGAGCATTTTGCAGGTTCGAACCACTGACCTTCAGATCAGCAGTCCAGCTGGCACAAGGGTTTAACTCATTGCGCCATCACGGCTCCGTGGTCAAACTGATTATCAAAGTCGATAATCCAGATTATCTGCTTTGAACTGGATTGTGTGAGTCCATACTGCCATATAAACCAGTTCAAAACAGATTGTCTGGATTTTATATGGCAGTATAATGGAAACATTAATCCTAGGTGGAACTATTTGGTATGGAATAGGGTTCAAGTCCTTCAAGTTCACACTGAAACGCAAACCAGAGTCACTGTTCCCACTAGCACAGAAGCAGGTGATCCCCACCACTTCCTGAAGCAGACGACGCCCTTCTAATCTTCGTACGGAGCCAGACATAAGCAGACATAAAAGCACCGGCAGGTTTCCCTCCCCACTGCGCAGCCTATTCACAAGGTTTGGGAAGGTGACTGTCTCCTTGGCGCTGCTGTTGAAGCCCTGAGCCATTCTGGCTGGTGCAGGTTGGGTGACTCCTGCATGCTACCAGGAAGGAGGGAGGCCCTATGTGGAAACACTCCCTTCCCTATGGTAAGCTATGGCTCAAAAGGATTTTTAAAAATCCAGCTTGAGAGAAGTTCAGGAGTCACTGGAGGATTCTGGGGGTGGCAGTCCAAAGAAAAGAACCCAGAAGGGGCTCCCAGCGAATCCAGGTGCCACGGGGAGAACTGGCAAAGCCACATGCCTAAGAAAACCCTACAAAACTCATGGGCTCACCACAAGTTTGAAGGCACAGCTTTGCATCTCGTTGCTTGATCTCCCCCATCTTCCCACTCCTTCTGGCGTCCCTCCAGCAACAGCAAGGGTATCCCTCTGGGCAGCTAAATCAGGAAATGGCCCTCCGCGAGGGTCTTCTTCCAGGGGCAAACCAAGAATGGGTAACCTGGAAGTCCCTGAATAGACTCGGAAACGGAGTGGGCAGATCAAAAGACAACCTGGCAAAATGGCACCACCTAAAAGAATCCCACACCTTGTGTGACTGTGGAGCAGAACAGACAACTCCGCATCTGTATGCTTGTCCATTATGCCCTGCATCATGTACAGAGGAGGAATTGTTGGAGGCTATAGACAATGCCGTTGCTGTTGCCCATTTTTGGTCAAAAGCCACCTGCACACCTTCTATTTTTATCAGTTTTATACTAATTTATGCAATGCTTTTGATACGAAATAAATAAATCTTCCCATCTTCCTCTCTCGCATGCCTTCAGCCTCCAATGTAGCGGCTGATAGGAGAGATAATACCAAGAGTGGTCCTTTGTAGAGGCAGAAAAGTATGTTTTTATTTCCAGCTGAGACCCTGGCATGGAATCAACTCCAAAAGCAAACCAGAGTGAGGGTAAAGGCATTGACTTTCCCTTTTATACATATTCAGATGCAGGCAAACAAAGAAACGTGCTTCTATGTACGTAATATTTATTATTTATTTATTTTATTTAGGCCATTTCTACCCCGCCCTCCTCACCCCCGAGGGGCGATTCAGGGCGGCTAACACAGGCAACAATTCAATGCCAACAGTATCAAAACAACAATATAAAACAGCAATATAAATCCATTACATAACAATTAAACAGTGATATTAATTAAAATTACATAGTCACATAGACCAAATCACATCACAGGTCATAAAGCCATTTCCAATTTTCAAACAATCCTATTGTCCGAGTTCAGTTCAGTGCTGCTGTGCCCACTAGCCAAAGGCCTGGCTCCAAAACCACGTCTTTAGTTTTTTCCTAAAAGTAAGGAGGGAGGACACTGATCTAATCTCGCTGGGGAGCGAATTCCATAAGCAGGGGGTCATCACCGAGAAGGCCCTGTCCGTCGTCCCCACCAGACTCGTTTGAGACGCTGGTGGGACCGAGAGCAGGGCCTCCACAGTAGATCTTAAATTACGAGGTGGAACGTAGAGAGAGATACGTTCAAATAAGTAAGCTGGGCCGGAGCCATATAGGGTTTTATAGGCCAAGACCAGCACTCTGAATTGTGCTCGGAGGTGGACCGGCAGCCAGTGGAGCTGACGCAGCAGGGGGGTGGTATGCTCCCTGTATGGCACTCCGGTGAGTAATCTGGCTGCTGCCCGTTGGACTACTTGAAGTCTCCGAACAGTCTTCAAAGGCAACCCCACGTAGAGTACGTTGCAGTAATCTATTTGGGATTTTTTTTTGTCGTGTCAGGAGCAACCGCTCCTATTGTGAGAGAATTGGCCGTCTGCAAGGACGTTGCCCAGGGGACGCCTGGATGATTTTTGATGTTTTATCATCCTTGTGGGAGGCTTCTCTCATGTCCCCGCATGAGGAGCTGGAGCTAATAGAGGGAGCTCATCCACCTCTCCCCGGATTCGAACCGGCGACCTGTTGGTCTTCAGTCCTGCCGGCACAGTGCTTTAACCCACTGCGCCACCGGGGGCTCCTCTATCCTCTCTATTTGGGATGTAACCAAAGCGTGGACCACTGTGGCCAAGTCAGACTTCCCAAGATACGGGCACAACTGGCGCACAAGCTTTAACTGTGCAAAAGCTCCCCTGGCCACCGCCGAGACCTGGGGTTCCAGGCTTAGCGATGAATCCAGGATCACTCCCAAGCTGTGAACCTGCACCTTCAGGGGAAGTGTAACCCCATCCAACACAGGCTGTAACCCTATGCCCTGTTCGGCCTTGCGACTGACCAGGAGGACCTCTGTCTTGTGTGGATTCAATTTCAATTTGTTAGCCTTAAGCACGTCACCTTAAGCATCATAGAAATATCAAATTACAGTGTTCCCTCACTATTTCGCAGTTCGCTTTACGCAGACTTGCTGTTTTGCATTTTTAAATAAATTTAAATTAATATAAAATATTTACATACAATGGGCATCGGAGGCTTGCGTGCGTTCCAGGAATCCCTCTGCCCTCCCTGGCCTCCATAGACCCTGGAAGAGCGGAGGTCATAGATGTGGGAGGCAGGCCTTCCCTGCCGCACCTCTGGCCTCCATACTTCCGGCCTCCGCAGACCCTGGAAGTGCGGAGGCCAGAGGCGTGGGAGGCATGGGTAAGGAAGCGCAGGTAAAAAAAAAATCTGCAAAGTTGGGATGCTATATTAATTTTAATATTTATACATTATACTAAAATATTACAATTAATATAGCGTCCCTATTTTGCGGATTTTCACTTATCGCGGGTGTTTCTGTTCCCAGACCACCCGCGATAAGTGAGGGAACACTGAGATCTTTATTTTCAGTTTGGCAAAATTATCTGTAACATTCAAACATATGTGCACAATGAAAAAGGGTACCGATCATCAGCATGTTTTAGAGCCT